TAAGCTTCAGTAGTTACTAAAATATCGCAGTTTTCATATTTCTGAAAACAACCGTTATATGGGAGGTAGGCGTGGTTATCGTTCGATTTTGCGCATTTTCAATACAATCCATTCTACGCCGAAAAGAAGTATTCGTTAAGATATCTCAATTTTTACTCGAGTTATCGTGTGCACAGATGGGAAGACGTCATGCAGCCTACGTCAGCTGTCAAATTAATTTTGACAAGCAGTATGTGTGATAAACTTTCAAGAAAGTTATTGATCGGACAACGCACTGTTAAAGCCCCGAAAATCTATAAGCAGCAATGATGATACATGGGTCCCGATGATGTTTGCGTTCACTTGTGATGTGTGTATGAAAACTTAATTATGACTTGTTCACACTGTTGTCTAAATCCGTGACAAAAATATAATTAAAAATATTATCTCGAGTATTCTTACGATTTTTCAGATGTATGAAATATGTAAATTTTTTATTTAAATATTCATTAATAAAATAATATTTTTATAATAATTTGCAATTTTCAGCTACTGTTCTACATAATACTACCCACACTTTGCCCATGGCTGTCCAACAGAATTCCACACTCATTTATGATAATTTAGATGAGTGCCCTTCGTTGCTCAAAGAACCTGAAGAGCTAAGCCGTTACAGTCCTATATTACCATTGAAAAATCAGAATAATGCAGTCCAACAAAGCACACAGCCTTACGATGGCAAGGCTAACAATAACAATAACAACAAAAATAAAAACCAAAACTTCAATCCTAAAATTAAGGAGTTCCACAAATATCGCAAATACGCTAGTAATCGTTTACATCGGAATTACGCGCCGAGTACCTGTAGCGCTCAAAGCGGCCGAAGTCGTACGATCTCATTAAATGGTGCTAATAGTGCAGAGGTAAGAATCTCAAAAAAAATGTACATATGTAATATATCGAAAGTTTCCAAACTCAAAATTTCTTCGTTACATCTATGGAGCATTTTTGTTTGGAAAATTTTGCAACAACGAGATTTTTTCAGTGTACTCAACAAAAATGTTATATTGAGTTTTCACTGTACCAGTTTTATTCAAGCTTTCTTTACCTGAAAAACTTGTTTGCTTATCTCTCTCTCTGTTTCTCATTCACAGGAGCAAGGCCAAAAGGAGATACCCATATGGCTTGACGATGAACCACGTTACGTGTCCGGCGTAAATAGCCGCACCACCTGCAATGACATTATCAAAGCTTTGATTGATGACGAAATTCGTAATGGAGGCAATCACGATTATTGTGCCAATCGTGGCAAATGTAAGTCAAGACAACAAGAAACCAAACCATTTCTAGTAATATTTATTACAACACAGCGGTCTCAGAGGGCTGCGTGCGTACGATTGAGAGAAAAATAGAAGGCAGGGTAGTAGAAAAGGAGAGCGTATATTTCATTATCCACTATCTATCACTCCTTTACTCTTATACACAAAATATCCACCTACATACTTATAATGGTCCTATTATCTACAAATTTTTTTGATTTCAAAATGCAAATATTTACGTACTTCAACGGTTTACGTTGGCGTTTCATGATAGCTTGAAATTGAAAATGTAATACAAAAACTAAGTAAATAAATAAC